TAGTAGTCGTAGTAGTCGTAGTAGTAGTATTAGTTGTAGTCGTGGTACTACTATTCGTAGTGGTAGTAGTCGTCGTAGTAGCAGTAGTAGTAGTAGTAGTAGTAGTAGTAGTGGAAGTAGTAGTATTAGTAGTAGTAGTAGTAGTAGTAGTAGTAGTAGTAGTAGTAGTAGTAGTAGTAGTAGTAGTAGTAGTAGTAGTAGTAGTAGTAGTAGTAGTAGTAGTAGTAGTAGTAGTAGTAGTAGTAGTAGTAGTAGTAGTAGTATTAGTTGTAGTAGTAGTAGTAGTAGTAGTAGTAGTAGTAGTAGTAGTAGTAGTAGTAGTAGTAGTAGTAGTAGTAGTAGTAGTAGTAGTAGTAGTAGTAGTAGTAGTAGTAGTAGTAGTGGTAGTGGTAGTCGTAGTCGTAGTCGTAGTCATATTCGTAGTCGCAGCAGCAGTAGTAGTAGTAGTAGTAGTAGTAGTAGTAGTGGTGGTCGTAGTAGTAGTAGTAGTAGTAGTAGTAGTAGTAGTAGTAGTAGTAGTAGTAGTAGTAGTAGTAGTAGTAGTAGTAGTAGTAGTAGTTGTAGTAGGAGTAGTAGTAGTAGTAGTAGTAGTAGTAGTAGTAGTAGTAGTAGTAGTAGTAGTAGTAGTAGTAGTAGTAGTAGTAGTAGTAGTAGTAGTAGTAGTAGTAGTAGTAGTAGTAGTAGTAGTAGTAGTAGTAGTAGTGGTAGTAGTAGTAGGTAGTTAGTAGTAGTAGTAGTAGTAGTAGTAGTAGTAGTAGTAGTAGTAGTAGTAGTAGTAGTAGTAGTAGTAGTAGTAGTAGTAGTAGTAGTAGTCGGAGTATTAGTAGTCGTAATAGTAAGAACAATTTCGTTACCAGTAGTCTGGATAGTAGTAGCAGTCTGCTCCATCCTCCTTCTTCCCCCTTGTCCCTTCCTTCCATCCGTCCTCTCTTCCCCTGCCTCAGGGGTTGCACGAATTACACGTTGCGGGTATGAGACATATACCCCGAAGTGGGGTACGATCGAAGACGACGAGGGCAGGTATCGAGGGTTTGGGGTACACGTGTTGAATGGCCCGCGAGCAGATAAGAGCGACCAGTCTTACCATTATAGTTGTTGTTGCTGCTGCTGCTGTTGTTGCTGTTGTTATTCTTGTCGTTGTTGTTGTTGTTCTTGTTTGTTTGTTTGTTTACAGTTTCCGTTTTTTGTTTGATGTTGCTTTGTTGTTGTGGTATATGGGGTGGTGAGGGGGCGTATTGCCATATTTATCCTCCTATCTTCACTTTCTCCTTTCGTTCTTATTCCTTTGTACTTCCTCTCCTCCTTCGTCCGTCCGTCCTCCCTTTTCCTTTCTCCCCCGTCATTGGTAGCATTGCTTGAGGCTGTACGGACTGGTAAACGTAACGCACGTTTTTTTCACACTTCGCCCCCCTGGGCCACCACACGACCAGCGTCGCTTGGACACCTTATGAGGACGTCTGGGTTGAAAAACCTGACGAGCCAGTGGTAATTGCCATCGTGGTCGTACTAATATTCGTAGCGCCTGTTCTCGGATACGGCGAGGATGCTGATGATGCCAATGGTTGCGTGACATCTCATGCGAGCACGAGCCGTGCCTGAGGACCCCTTAGTTCGAACCTATTGGTCGGCCAGCGGCCGGTCTTGCCAGCACGGCACTTCCTGTCGCACGTATTCATGCCTTTGGGTGCTCTCATCTCATTATTTGTGCCAGGATATAAACCTGGACAGGACGTTCTTCACCTGTACATCCCTCTCATTCCAACCAGGCCAGCGGCACTTCTCATTCTTCATGGCTTCGCGCAAGCGTGGGTCATACCATACACCGCATTGCACCGAGGACGGAACACACGGTGGATCAATAATACATGATCAAGTATCAGGTATGTGCATCCATTGTGCCCATGAGTGCGAATGGGAGCATGCTGTTGGATATCCCAGGGATCCATCCCTAGGGCATCCACGGGTTGAGAGGTGTCGCTTGCATGGTGACGTGATGGCTTGATCCAAGATGCTCCTACCCTGTCGCCCTTTCGCATTCTGCCCCTCCTGCTGATGGTGGATGCCTGAGCGGAAGGCGATGAAATCACTACGGGGCAGGGGGCTGACGAGCGCCAGCGGTGTTTCGCTGCTTGTCCTTGCGCCTGGCGGCTGGGCAGGATTTCAGAGGAGGGGGATATCTTGACATCATCATCCTGCTGCGTACGCTCCCTCCCCCATCTGTCTACACTCCTTCCCTTTCCGCCTCCATGTGCCATCCCTCCCCCCCTTCCCCCTCCGCCCTTCCTCCCCTTCCTCCCTCCCTCCTCTCTTTCATCCTCCGACCCCCCCCTTCCCACTCCTGTCCCCAACCTCGCCTCCTCCCGCCTTGATCGTAGATCGTTTGCCTTTGTTCCCGTGCCTTCCGTTTCCTTGTTTCATACGTTTGCGCTGCTGCGCCCGTGTGCGGCCCCTCGACGGCGTATGTACATGCAGGTCGGCGATGGAGGAAAGATAAGCAGGAGGAAGGAAGGCAAGATCGGGGGAGATGGAGGATGAGGATGAGGATGAGGATGATGAGGAGGAGGAGGCGGAGGAGGAGGAGGAGGGAACCTGAAATGACACGACGTGCTCATATCGGAGCACGCAATCTATCAGGTGATGCATTCGGCTGACCATTGTGATTTTTGAGAACTTACAGGGGGCGCCGAGTTGCAGCCCAGGTGTGCGGTGTGGCATGGTGTTTCACTTTCGCGACGCTGGTGCAGAGTGTGTTTCTGCGACACTGTCGTCGCCCACCCCCCTCCCCCCCTCTTCTCCGATTCTCGCAAGTTGTTTCCCCACTGGTATCAGCGCTGGTGCCCTCGGTCCTGTCCCCCCCTCCCCCAGGCGGAAGTTTCCGTCGATTCTGGCGTTTTTTATGGGATCGGCCAATATTTTCGAATGCGTTTTCGATTGGTGTATATTTTTCTGGTGTGTGTTTCCTTGCAACATTTGGCCAACATATATATATATATATATATATATATATATATATACACACGCTAATCCGCCGGGGCAGGTTTCGGGTCTTATTGGTGAATATTTTGAGGGCGGTTTTCCGGCCCGCGCTGTCATTGCCCGCCCGTCTTTTGGGAGCCGCTTTACGCGGGGTGCCGTGCCCCGTTGCTTTTCCCGACGTATCTGTGTGATCCCTTGCGCAGTGCAGCGCGTTTCACCTTTTCTAGCTCGCCCTGCCGTAGACAGCCTGCCCGCGCTGGCACCTTGAGAGCTGCAGGTCCGCATGAATGTGGCGCGTGCATTCTTGCATTGTTCCAGCGAAGCGCCTTACCGGATATACTTCACCTTCCCATCATTGAGTCCTGATTGTGCATGCACCATGGCCATGCCATTGCCCACTCAGAAATCGACACCTCCGCGCCCTGCGCGCACCAGCACTCTGCGTCGGAGAAACCGTTGCTCCCACGGAGACACGATGGGCAGCCAGCGCACGCTCCGCAGGGCGCGGCCCTGGCCCTGGCACGCACCCCTTTTTATATGCGGGGCGCGCAGCCCGCTTGGGGGCACGGCTCCAGATGGCACGGGACCCCCGCAGCGGCACCGTTGGCAATTCGCTAGCGGGTATTCTGGAAAGTTGCCGAAGGTTGCTACTTCAGGGCCTTTTTCTGGCATGGCAGTGCTGCCCACGTCGGGGAGGGGTTGGGTTCGCCGGGTCGCTGGCCAAAGTGCCCGCCGTCAGTGGAGTCCCCGTTAGAGGGGCGCTGACGCCCAGCCCCACTCCGGACGATCGACATGAGTATTTTTTTTCCGCTGGCCCTGGAAGATGCGCATCGGCCGCCGCCGTTCCAGAGCGTTCCGGAACGCTATGAGAGTGGTCGGGACCCTGGCCCAAGGTACCCCTGGGCCTGGGTGCTCGCAGAGTGTCAACAAAGCGCAAGAAAAGGGGGGGCGTCTGGGGCCGCCCTCTGCCTTGAGAAGGGGGCCGACCAGCAGGTGGCAGACCGGCGGCGCACGCTGACCGCCAGTCTCCGACCACGCTCCAACGCTACACGCAAAAATCCACTGGACTGCTCCTGGTGAGTGTTGCTTCGTTGGTCCAGCGCGCTGCTACTGGAGAGTCATGAGCTGATGTAGCGCGATGCAGTGCTGCAGGCAGCAAAAACAATGAAAAACCTGCCGCCGAGATTCTCTCATGACTCAAAGGGTCTGGAAATCGTGGTGGGCCAGAACCGGCGGCGCGACACGCTAAGCCACAAAATTCGTGCCTCGCACCGCCTGCACTGGGCAGGCTGTGCTGCCTGGGGGAGGGAGGGAGAGAGAGGAGGAGGAGGAGGAGGAGGAGGACGAGGGGCAAGGGGAAAAACACACTGAACAGACGCCGACCAGCAGTTCTGGGCCATCTCGAACAGGACTCGCTGTCCGCGCCGCCGCGGACGCTGTTCTCTGAAGACAAAGAGCCGCCTGCCAGATAGCGGCCGCCGTCGGTTTTGGACAACATTTGTGGTTCGGCATTGTGCCCGTCTCCTCCTCCTCCTTCTCCTCTCCTCCTCCTCCTCCTCCTCCTCCTCCTCCTCCTCCTCCACCTCCTAGCCCTCCTCCTCCTCCTCCTCCTCCTCCTCCTCCTTCTCCTTCTCTTCTGGCTCCTCCTCCTCCTCCTTCTCCTCGTCTCGTCCTTAGGGGCCTGGCTTGGCCTCGGCTCTCGAGGCTTGTGTATCATCGGAGTTCGGGGTAGCCAGCGAGGGAGCGGTGCCGCGGCACACGTCCGAGCCGATGCGGCTGGCGGGCTCAGCACCGCAGGCGAAGCCACACCACGGGCAACTGGTTCCCTGAAACGAGCACTCCCTGGAGGCTGTTTTTTTAGGGTCCGGCGATCACCTGGGTCCCTGGGTTATCGGGCTTGCCCCCCCTCCCCCCCCCCCAGGATAACCTGACCTTGCCGGTTGTCAGGGCTGCCCCACAGCGCGAAGACTAGGTTATCGACCCGGGCTACCGCCGATTCAAAAAAACGGTCTCCTGATATTCGGGAACGCGTAAAGCAGTAGAACGCAGAGCTCCGAAAGGTAAAGGGGGCTGCTGCTGCACGCTGCTCCCACACTCCACCGTCTCGCTCGCCGTGCTCGCTTCTCCCTGGCCTCTGCCACCGTCCCCAGCTCCCGCGCCAAGTGGCCCCTCGGGGCCGCTCCCGAGAGGAAGATCCTTCCTTCGAGCTCCGCCAGGACCTCGAGCTGCCTCGCCAGCACCGTCCCGACGGCGGCGTCTCCGCGGAAGTGCATGCTCGGGATCGCCCTCGGAGTCTCCCGCCCTGGCCGGCCTTTTGGGCGCCCGGCATCCTGAAGCCTTGGGCGCTGCGGCCGAGGGTCCACGGGGGCCTGGGTCAGCACCTCCTCCCTCCTCCCTCCTCCCTCCTCCCGCCTCCCTCCCCCTCCTCCTCCTCCTCCTCCTCCTCCTCCTCCTCCTCCTCCTCCTCCTCCTCCTCCTCCTCCCTCGAACTACGCTGGCGTACAGTGGGGGCCTGGTCGAATTCCTGCCTCTCGTCTCTCCGTTTCATCTGTTTGCTGTGATGTACTCCGAGCCCTCCGGCCGCCTGAGGCTCCGCCCGCCCGCGCCCAGGTCTCCCCAATTTGGGCTACTCGCGCCCCGTTCAGCTCTTGGCCGGAAGGGGCCCGCTCCCGACCCGCAGACCAAACAAGTCTGTGTGCCACCGTCTGCGTCCGGCTGGGGCCGCCTGCCGACCCCGTGCAGGATCGTCGCCACGAGCGTGTGCATGCGAGGGTGCCCTCGAGCTCTGCGGTCCACCTGGCCGCCGCTGGCGGCCAGCTCCTCGTACTCCCTGCTCATGTTGCTGTAGCTGACCCCTGCTGCCTTGTAAGCGCCTCCCATCCCAGCGCTTGTGCCTGGGAGCTCGAGCTCGAGATCTGCCGCATCCCGCGCGATGACCACGGCCAAGCGTGCGTCCACCACTCCAGTCTTGTCCTTGGAGCCTCCTCCTCGCCCACCTGCGGCGCCTCTGTTGGTGCCCTTGCCCTTGTGCTTCTCGTCTCCGGCCTGCTCTACGCGGAACACTTCCTCGTCTGAGCGCTCCCCCCTCTCCTCCCCCCGCGCGGCCACCCTCGTCTTTTCCCTTCCCCTTCCACGCCGGACAATTCGCATTTCGATTGCCCCGATTAGCCACACGCTGGGGCGGACTGCCTCTGCCTCGCCGCCGACGGAAAAAGTGTGCAGTACTCGTCAAAGCTCGAGCCGTCGAAGTCGCACGCGGAGCACCCGAACGACCAAATTGAAACCACTTCTCGTAATGGCGAAGGGCCGACTCTTTCACGGTGTCCTCGGAGCATCGATCCCTGACGGTGTTTCGCAGCGTCCCGTCGCAATTCTTGTCGACAGTGAACACAAAGTTTGTGGGTGCTAGTGCATTGCAGATATGTCGCAGCCCGTGATGATTACGTAGATGATTCATGATATCAGCTCGTGTACGAAAGCTCACATCGCACATGTGATCCTCCCGCTCCTCCTGATGTAGCCAGCATCTCCACTGAAACGCACTGCCCTGACACGTCTCAGTACATTGGTCGCCAACGTTCGTTTGGGCGACACATTCTTGCGGAGGAGTGGCTTGCGTGAGCTACCTCGATCTGTAAGCTGAGACATCCGTTGTCGTAAACATACGAGGTCTCCGAGGTCGCTTCGTCCACTTGCAGTCAGGAGTCTCTCGCGATCTCGTCAACCTCGTCTTCCTTCCCCTCCCCTTTCGAGGGCGGGTTGGGGGGCGCTTTCTCCTCTCTCCCTCTTCCCCTTCCCCCCCTGCTCCCTCCCTGTCTCCCCGTTCCTCTCCCCTCCGCTCACGCTCTTCCCCTGGGGGGAGCAAGGAGAAGAGGGGGAACGGCAGCAGGATGGCGGTCCCTGCCTTCCATCTTCCCCCCCTCTTCTCCCCCCTCTTCCTCTGCCCCTGCCCTTCTCCCCCCTCTTCCTCTTTCTCCCCTCTCGCTCCTGCTCCCCTCCCCTCCCTGTGCGCTCGTCCGAGCGAAGACGTCATCTGTCGTCATTCTCCTCCCCGCTCTCCTCCTCTCGTCTCCCTCCTCTCCTTCTCGCCCGCAGGTTCCCCTTCACGCCGCCCTCTTTTCCCCCTCACGTTATGATGCTCCAGCCTACTTTAGCCTCGATCACCAGCAAGAAGTTCGAGCACCGAGAAGCACCGAAACTCGAGGGTTCTCACGTGTCGGGCCCTGGGAGACACTCGTCCGACACTGCTTGGACACCGTTTCGGCACTTTTCTGGGTGCCCGAGATTATTCCTGGGATGTGGTCCTGAAGCACGATGGGAGCCGCATAGCCCTCGCCTTTCTTTTACCCCTGCTTCCCTCTCCTTTTCTTGTACCTCTCCCAGGGGAGATGGGGGGAGTGAGGGCAGGGTGACGAGGCCGGGCGTTTGCTCTGCGTCTTCACACGCTGCCCCCGTGCGGCACGGGGGCAGACTGTGAAGGCCTGGAACAAGCAGCCAGGGCACGGGTCATGCCCTGGCGACTCGTCGAGCTTGTCTCGTTTCTATACTCCGCGTCTTGACTGCCTGCTGCTCCTCGTGTGCTCCCCTCGTGTTCCTTTTTCCCCTGCTTGCTCCTCCTCCTCATCCTTCTCCTCTTCCTTTGCCTCCTCCCGCTCTCCCTCTTCCTTCTCTTCCTCTTCCTTCTTCTCTTCCTTCTCCTTCTTCTCTTTCCTCCTCCCATCCTCCTTCTCTTCCTTCTTCTCTTCCTCCTCCTGCTGCTGCCGATGCTCTTCCTCTCTCTCGCATCCTCTGTCTCGTGGCCGTCCGCCGTGGCAGCAGCGTCTGCGCCCCTCGCTGGCATCATCGCGGGGAGGGTTTTCTTGGGCCAGGCGGCGGTGGGCTGGCAGCTCGCGGGGGGCGGGGGGAATCCGCGATGAACGGAAATTCCAGCCTCCCTCCCTACAGTGCCGTTTTCAATACATGCTCCGTGTGCGGATCATTTATGAAAAATGCAGGTATTTAGTATGAAAAACAACGATGAGTTCATGCATACATTCATTCCTAAATTGAGCATGTGTTAAACATCTTATATCTTTAAATCCCATGTATAACAACTGTCCTGTATAGTAGTCTTGTGTCGTGTCGACCCAGCGACGACCTCGCCGCAAGCGTGCAAGGTTCAATGTGGAGCGATGTGGCAATCGAAAAAGAGCCGATCGCGCAAGCTTGAACGATCCACGCTGTGTGCGGAATCGACGCCAGGGTCGTCACGATACAAGCCTGCCGTACCTCCCCTCTGAGTTGCCCACTGGTTCTAGCCCCCTCCTGAGCGAACGCTTGTTGAGTCTGCTCCCTCCGTCCCTCCCTCCTCGCCTTGCTTTTTCGGAGGCCCAGAGGTTGACAACAACACCAGGCGGTGTGCCTCAACCGAGGGGAGATGATCCCGATCTCGGTGATGTTGTCACCATTCGGGCTTCCTAGGTGGCCGAAACATCACCACCAACGCCAGAATCTAGGATGATCTTCCCACAGTGTAGGCCCCCCCCCTGTGCTGGTGTTGGTGCCCATTTCCTCGCTTTCCTTTTTCCTTTCCTGGCTCTTCCCTCTCCTCCCCTCTTCCCCTGCCTTCCCCCCCCCCGTCGCTCCGTTCTGCTCCCTGCCCGTCCCGCCATCGCCTCTCGTCCCTCTGCCTCGCTTCTCTTGCATCTCCCGAGGAGAAGGAGGAGGAGGAGGAGGCGGAGGAGGAGGAGGAGGAGGAGGAGGAGGAGGGAGGAGGAGGAGAAGGGAGGAGGGACGAGGAAGGAGGGGGAGGGGGGAGGGAGGAGGAGGGAGGAGGTCCATCTTCCCTCCTGCTTCCCCTGCCCCCCCTTTCCCCCTGCTCCTCCTCCCCTGCTGGTGCGGCTCTTGGCTGCCTCTCCTGCCCCTCTCCTCCTGCCCCTGTCCCCCCTCCGTCTCTTCCACCCCTCGCCATCCTCCTCCTGCCGCTCCCGCGCCCTCCTCCTCCCCCCCTCCCCCTCCTCCTCCCCTCCTCCTCCTCCTCCTCTCCTCCTCCCCCTCCTCCTCCTCCTTCCTCCTCCTCCTCCTCCTCCTCCTCCTCCTCCTCCTCCTTCCTCCTCCTCCTCCTCCTCCTCCTCCCTCCTCCTCCTCCCCCCCTCCCGTCCCCTCCCCCGAACATCTTGCTCTCTTGCGCACCTCTGGCCCTCCCGTAGCGGGCCACGACAGGTGTGACCACCAAGTCTGGGCAGCACTTCAACAAGCTCAACCCGGAGGGGTGCACCGTCATCTATGCGCGGATTCATCGCAGGCAAGTTGGAGGCAGAGGATAAAGAGGGAGGATCGATTCTCAGGAACAATGTATCAAAATGTAGGTGAGAATGATGGTGGTTGGTGGTGGTGATGATGATGATGATGATGATGATGATGATGATGATGATGATGATGATGATGATGATGATGATGATGATGATGATGATGATGATGAGCATGACGATGCTGATGGTTCTGATGGTGGTGGTGGTGGTGCTGCTGCTGAGGAGGAGGAGGAGGAGGAGGAGGAGGAGGAGGAGGAAAGGGATGAAAAGGATGAGGAGGACGGATGATGAGGTTGGGAGGAGGAGGTGGAGGAGAAGGAGGAGGAGGAGGAGGAGGAGGAGGAGGGGGGGAGGAGGGAGGAGGAGGAGGCTGAGTGGAGGATGGGAAAACCATTGCGTTGCACATATCAGGTATGGCAGGCTTGGAAGCATGGGATATCTCACATCGTGCTGCAGAGATGTTTCAGCAGGAGCGGCCGCACGGGTGCCTCCGCAGCCGTTGCCGCTCAAGCTCTCGGCCCCGCGGGATCGCCTCCGCCTTGGATGCACAAGTTCCTGACCCGCGTATCAGGCGATCGCAAACATGGATCAAGGGGGCGTGGATCAGCGACGGGTCCCGTTTCCATGGGGGATCGCGGGTTTTCCGCCGCCTAGCGAGGCGGCATCGGCCGCATATGATTTGGCGACCTCGCGCCAAGTCCATGGATCGCCAATCCATGCTTGCGCGCCCCCGATCAGTGCCCGAGCCCGTAGTGCTCGCCGAAGAGCTCCTTCCACCAGGAGAGGTTCTCGCTCGTCGTCTCGCTGGGCTGCCTCGCGGTGGCCGTCAGCGCTGGCTTCGGCCTCGGGTCGACGCCGGTGCCCTCCGAGGGCGCCCCCTCGCCCTCGGCTGCTGCGGGCGCGCCGCCCTCGCTGCCGGCCGACGTCTCTGGGCGGGGCGCCGCGCTCGAGGGCGTCGGGGGGGGGAGGCTCGCCGGCAGGCTCGCCAGACCGCGGCTTCCCGGCAGGCCCGCCTCTAAGGCGGGGCGACGGCACGCCCAGTCTCGACGAGCCATAGGGGCCGGTGGCGGGCGGCTTCGCCAGCGTCACGTGCGATTGTGCTCGCTGGCTCTGGCGCGAGCGCCTCGTGCCCGTGCTGATGCCGAACGCCGGCCCCTCGGCGGCCGCCCTCGCGCCCGACGGCGGCGAGCCCGCCGAGAGCTCCGCCGGCCCTCGCGGCACCGGCGCGGACGCAGTCTGCAAGCTCAGGGCCGTGCCGCCCGCCGCCGCCGCGGGCGCTGCCCGCGAGGCGGCGCCTCGCCGGGCGTGGCCGCGCCGCCGGTGCCCGCCGTGGCGCCCGCCAGCGGCGGCGGCTGCCCCGGGGGCGCTGGCCGCCGCCGCCGCCGCTGGCGCGCCCGCGGCTGGCGGCGGCGGGCTCGCGGCGCTCGCGGCCGCGCCGGGCGGCCCCCCGGGGCGGGCGTCGCCCCCTCTCCGCCGCCTGGTCGGCGTGTTTGATTGTAGGGGGCCACATGCGAATCCTACCCTTACCCCCCGGCGTCTTTTGAGGGGGAGGGTGGGGTTCACTTCGCTCGAGAGCTCCCGAACGAAGTGAACCCCACCCTCCCCCTCAGAAATCGTGGGGGGTAGGGGTAGGGTTCGCATGTGGCCCCCTGGACTGGGGCCTAAGGGACCCAGATACGGCCGATACTACTGGGTGCAATCTGCGACTGGCTCAGGCGAGCGAGGCTGCAATCGGATTCGCTGAGCCTGAGACTGCGCGTGGATTTCTACATTAAGTTTGAAAAGTCAATGGGGATCGGGGCATGAAGGTTGCCACCGAGGATACTACAAGGGACGTCGTGTGACCCTTTCCCAATGACCTGGCATTGGGGAAATGTGGTTTGAGCCTTGCCGGTGGCCTCTGGCCGATTCAGGGCGGATGTTCGTCGAGCTGAATCGCAGAGAGCCTCCCGAGGTGAGCCTCAGAAAAGATCCCAAAGAGGGCTTTGAAGGCAGAATAAGTGGATTCCATCTGTTGCTCTGCAGTGCTGCTTCGCGGGTATTCACACAACAAAGAAAGCGGCGCTGGTACTCGATGCAAACAAAAGGTCGCACTCCGAGGGTAGGAAGCCCTGGACGCTCGACGACACGGACTGGCTGTCCCGATCCATAGTTGGTTTTATGGTGGATGGCGCCAGGCGAGGTAACGAACCGCACGAAATAATCCACAACGATGTACTTCGCGAGTTTTCCGAAACGTACCTCGTCTGGTATTTCTTCTTGGATATACATGACGAGATATGGACGGGCAGGTTTGTCGATGAGGTTATGTCTTGCCTCGACCCATGACAATGCGACCATGGCAAAAGAGCTGCCTTCGGATCGGCTCGGGTTGGCAAGACATTCTGCTGGCCTTTCTTTCCTAGGAGAAAAAATGGATGCTCACCGACACTTTTGCAGGTCCCAGGGTGCGATTGCGAGGATGCGGGATGCCATGGGCTCTCACTGTCGTCTGGCGGTCATTGTAGCAGTCTGGGTAGTCCGAAGCATACGACAACCCCCTCCCCGGGCCGAGCTGGCCATGGGCCGGCCAGCGGCTGGCCCTTCCTGGTGTGGTGACAGGCGATGGCGGTCGAGGACCTGCAGGCGGGGCCCTGAAGAAGGAGCCCTTTTCGTTGGAGAGGGGCTCGGCGTTTCTTGATCGTTTCGCAGTTTGCCTGCAAATTTCCTGAGGTTTTCGATAGGGCATCGAAGGTTAATTTATGAGAAAAGGGGCCTCGTTCCTTATTTAGGGTTCTTTAGGTCAACGCCCCGACTGTACAGGCGTTCGCCCCGTGTGAGGGCCGCATCGCAGCCTCTCGCAGTGGTGCCAAGGGCGATGGAGGCGTCGTGATGGCACCCGCTGCGGCGCGCGGCCCCTGCTGGCGTCGCGGCGGCAGGCGCCGGGGAATGTGCTGGGGGGGGCTGATGCGGACCCCGCTGACTCGGTGGCGCATCGTTCTGCCGCGGGTGTGGACGGCGGTGGGCGACAGCCCGGGCAAGATGGCGATGGTATGGGGTGCCGATGGGGTAGCTGCGGTGCCCGACATTTTTTGGCCGTCGTCTTGCTCGTGACACGGGGACAGCCGAGGCCGGAACTGAGTGAACCCCAGGCAAGGGTAATAGCTCAAAGAGGTCTAGGTTGCATCGTCCCGAAGACGATCGCGCCAGCAAGTGGGCTACTGAACGGGCTAGACAACAAGGAAAGGCAAGGGCGACCGCGAACGCGTGGGGAAACGGAGGAGGAATTGCCTCCTCCTCGGTGCCCTGGTAAGGGTTGTCATCCTGGTGGAAAACCAAAGAGCTCTGGCCACTGGTCCAGAGGTCGCCTAAGGGAGGATCACAATGAAGGTGGCCGAGATGCGACCGGGGTGTGGACTGCGGAGAGTGATCCGAGGACTAGCTGGAACTGAGACGGCGACTGGCAGGGGGCTCCGAGTGAACGAGGTCGACGGTGTGCTGCGGGGAAGGGCCACGCTGGCTGGGCGAACGGCGCCAGCTGCCTCGCGGCCCTGCCGAATAAATAAAGGCTTCGTCGGGCAGCCGAGCCTTGGCCTCTTCAGCAGGAGTAGGTGCTACTCGGGCGGGCTGCGCTGTGACGTGTCTTTGGGGTTCGCGCGCCCTGGCGAGGCGTGCCGAAAGCTGGCGCACAAAGGCCCGGTGGCTCAGGGGCCCGCCGCGGGGGGAGTCGTTGCTGTCGCTCCTCCCGTGTCTGTCAGCTAGCGTGCGCGCGTTGCCCGCGTCGGGCTCAAGACAAACGTATGGACTGGGACGCGACCTGCGCCTGGGTAGATGGGTTCGCGCGCCCCTTTCTCTTAGCGCGCGCGTTTCATCGCCCATCAATCGCATTTGCTTCGCGGAGCTTCGTAGCATTGCCGCATGACTTCGTGGAAAACCCTTCCGTTAACAATGTCTTGGAGAAGGGGGCCCTTGATCTAGGAGGCCCGAGTACGGACAGCGCTCGCTAGTTAGAACCTTAAGAATAGCCGGCAAATAACTATGCCTCCGCACTTCTGAAAAGGATGGTAAGGAAGCCCATGTCTCCTTACTTCAGAATGGACGAGTTTGTGTTTCACATGCTTCTGTATTCGACAAGGAGACTGGGAGCACCTGGCGCCACCAGGAAGGCGAGCTTACGGGGGCGCCGTGATTGTCTTCTACGGGCTCGACGGGGCCACCGGGGGAAAGAACCAGCATGCCTTGCTTTCAATGCCCGCCCGGCCCGCCCAGTCGAAAGTGCGGCCAGGTGCGGCCTTCGCAGGGCGGGCCGAATTTCCACTCCCTGGGATGCCCATGGGGAGAGGGTGCTCCGAATGATAGACCGTTGCGGCAGCCTGGAGCTATCGGCCCATTGCTGTCAGCCCACTGCCCGTGGGCGTCCTGCCCCCACTCCCTTCCTCCCTCCGACGAAGACGTCTACACACCACCACCGTGCCAGGCCAGGGCCATTCTGGGCCCCAGGACGGTGTGTGCATCTCCCCGGCCTCGGCCGGGATGGCGTATACACCATGCCCGGGCCAGGACGGCCCTGGCCTGGCACGGTGGTGGTGTACAGATGCCCTTCTGCGTACTCCCTCCTCCCTCCTCCCTCTTCTATGCTGTCTCGTCCCTCATCCCTGCCGCCTCCTTCTTCCGACCTCCCTCCTCTCTCCCTCGTCGTCGCCCTCCCCTCCGCCCCCTTGCTTCGGCCACGCGCAGAGGAGGGTCATAGGGTGAGGGGGGGAGGCTTACTAGAAGCACCCCTTCTTCTCAGAAGGCGCGGGCTTTCTCTGCAGATGCAGTGCCAGCGCCCTCTGAGAAGCAGCCTCCTTCTAGGAAGCCTTCCCCCCCCCCTCCCCCTACCCAGTCTTCGTCGCCCTCCCCTCCGCCCCTTTGCTGCTGGTCCCCTTCGTCTTCCCTTCTCCTCCGCCTCGTTCTTCTCTTCCTCCTGCAGCTCTTCTCTTCTGCCTCTGCCCTGTAGTCTCGGACACGGCTTCCTCCTGGATGGAGTGGGGTACATACGGCGGTAGGGAACGAGAGAGAGGGAGAGAGAGAGAGAGAGAAAAGAAAAAGAAAAGAGAAAGAGAGAGAGAGAGAGAGAAAGAGAAAGAGAGAGAGAGAGAGAGAGAGAGAAAAAGAGGGAGGGAGGGAGGATGGAAGAAGGGAGGGAGGGAGAGGGAGGGAGGGAGAGAGAGAGAGAAGGAGAAACGAAGAGAGAGAGAGAGAGAGAGAGGGAGAGAGAGAGAGAGAGAGAGAAAAGAAAAGAGAAAGAGAGAGAGAGAGAGAGAGAAAGAGAGAGGGAGGAAGTGAGGGAGGGAGAGGGAGAGAGAGAGAGAGAGAGAGATATATAGAAAGAAAGAGAGAGAGAGAGAGAGAGAGAGAGAGAAAGAGAGACAAAGAGAGAGAGAGAGAGAGAGAGAGAAAGAGAGAGAGAGAAGAGAATACCCGCCCCCGACTCGGCAGACTCCTCGCCCGTTTCGTGGCCCCACGGAGAGAGCTCCACCGCAGGCCCCCCGCGGCAGGGCCCGCATGGCGTGCCCGCGCCCGATCCGGCGCACCCGTCGCACACTTCGCGGCCCCGGAGGGAGCTCCACCGAAGGCCCCCGCGGCGGGGTCCTCGGCACGGTTCGCGGCCCCGAAGGGAGCTCCACCGAAGGCCCCCGCGGCAGGGTCCGCATGACATACAGTCGGGGCCCTGAAGAAGGAACCCTTCTCGTTGGGGAGGGGCTCCGCGTTCCTTGAGTGTTTCACCGCTTCCCTTGGGTTTTCCTTTTGTTTTCGACAGGAAATCGAAGGTTAACTTATGGAAAAAAGGGGCCTCGTTCCTTATTTAGGGTTCCTTAGGTCAGCGCTCAGCCCCGACTGTACCCGCACCTTTTCGGCACACCCCTCACACGTGCCGTGTCCCCCTAGGAAGCTCCATCCAAGGCCCGAGCGGCAGGGTCCGCATGGCGCATCCGCCCCATGTCGGCACGCCCCTCACTCCTCCCCCTAACTTCTTCTCACTTGCCTCGCGGTATCCGCAGCTTCATATGGTTGGACCCGTCGGCAGCATAATGGGCTTGAGTGGGGTGGGGGTGTGACAAGAAGTGGCTACTGAGTGGCAGATGCATCATGATTTGAGGCAGCAGTGATGGAGGGCGGGCTTCCCTTCACGTCATCCTCCTCCTCGTTCCGTCCATCCGCTCTTCTCTCTCGTGACCGTGGCATGATGTATTATGATTCTATCACCTTTGCATGGTCTGGCTCTTTTCGTCCCGCCCGCCTGGGAGCGCCAATACCCGTAGCAGAGCTGCACGGACGCTCGCTCGCTCGCTCCTCCCTCCTTCAGCGCTCGCAGTCGTCTCACCTCTCTCCGCCGCGGCCTCTGCAGGCTAGCGGCAGTGGGGCTGTCCTTGCGGGACTTGCTCTGCATGTCGCCTCGCTCGCCATCCGTCGACTTCGGGAGCATGAAGGGGAGGGAGGATGAGGGCAGCAGGGGAATTGGCGGAAGTGACGGGGGAGGGGGCAGGATTGCTTACGGTGATGGTTGGTGCTGAGGAGGAGGAGGAGGAGGAGGAGGAGGAGGAGGAGGAGGAGGAGGAGGAGGAGGAGGAGGAGGAGGAGGAGGAGGAGGAGATGAGGAGGGGGGAGGAGGAGGAGGAGGAGGAGGAGGAGGGGGAGAGGAAAAGGGATGAGAACGGGAAAGATGTTGTAGGGATGAGCACGCATAGGAATGCGTAAATGGTCTGTCAGTGCCGAGGCACGGTACGCAGAGGGAAGGCAGTAGTGTCTCACCAGCACGTGGTGTGAGGGATAGTGTATCGCAGTGGTGTGCTGGCAATTAGTGCTGGCGTTTCGGTATTGGTTGGCATCGTAGCGGGATGCAGTCGGTGAGCTCAAACCATCATGAGTTGGTATCGAAGTCAATCAGCGACCGAATGCAGGGTAAACTACTAAACAAATGGTGGTTGTGGAACGATGCCCGTTCTCTTAGTCTTCCTCGTCATCCTCGTCCACCTCTGTTTCTGACTACCTCCCGTATCTATTCCCTCTGCCTCCGCCCTCACTTCTGCTTTCCCCCTCCCGTCTTTTCCTCCCCGGGGCAGGGGATGGGGGTGGGGAAGGCGGGAGAGAGGAGGAGGGGGAGGACGATGGAAGCAATGGGGGAGGAGGGGGAGGAGAGAGGAGGAGGGGGAAGGATGAGGGAAGCAATGAGGGCAGGAGGGGGAGGGAGAGGGGAGGAGGGGGAGGAGGAGGGACGCAAGAGTGGGAGACCGGGATGGGGAGGGTGGAGGAGGACGTCGGCAAGGGGTGGCCCCATTGCCCCCCCCCTCCCCCTGCCTGCCTGCTGTTTTTCCTCGCTCTCTCGCCCTGGCCGTCCCCCCCCCCTGCTCGAAGCGCTCCCCTCCCCTCGCTCTCGCTCTCCTGAGCCAGGTCCTTGTCCCCTTGACCCAGCTCCTTGTCCCTTGACCAGCTCCTTCCCTCCCCTCGCTCGCCCTCTCCCACTCCCTCTCCCTGACCCGGCTCCTGACCCAGCTCTCGACTGCTTTAGCTGTCGACCCAGCTCCTGACCCAGCTCCTGACCCTCATGATGTTTGAAAGAGCGTGTTCTACCGCTGCTGGCGGAAAACCGGGGGGGGTCACTGTTCGAACCCCTCCCCCCCTCCCCCTCCGGAAAACCGGGGGGGGTCACTACCGGTTCGAACCCCTCCCCCCCCCCCAGCTCATCATGAAAAGGGGGGGGGGTCACTACCGGTTCGAACCCCTCCCCCCCCCCCCTCGAAAACGGGGGGGGTCACTACGGTTCGAACCCCCCCCCCTCGAAAACCGAGTGGGGGTGCGGACAGTGGTGGGTACGGTGTTGGTGGGGACAGTGGTGAGGGGATAGCGGGACAGTGGTGGGGACAGTGGGACAGTGGGACAGTGGTGGGGACGGTAGTGGTGGGGACAGTGGTGGGGACAATGGTGGGAACAGGGGGGGACAGTGGACAGTGGTGGTGACGGTGGTGGTGGGGACAGTGGTGTGGGGACAATGGGAATGAGGTGGAAACAGTGGGACAGTGGAGGGTACAATGGTGGTGGGGACAGTGGTGAAGGCGGTGGCGAGGACGGCGGTGGGACAATGGGACAGAGGTACAGTGGGGACAGTGGTGGGGACAGTGGGGACAGTGGTGGGAACAGTGGGACAGCTCAGTGGGACAGCGGAGGAGTCAGTGGGACAGCGGGGACAGTGGGGATAGTCGGGCAGTGGTTGGGGCCGTGGAGACAGTGGGGAGAGTGGAACCGTGGTGGGAACAGTTCTGGGGACAGCGGGGACAGTGCGACAGTGGTGGGGCCACTGGTGGGGACAGTAGGGGCGGTGGTGGAACCAGTGGGGACAGCGGTGGTGAGGACAGTGGTGCTGGGAACACCAGTGGGGGATGTGATGCGGACGGTGGTGGGGACCGGGAGTCGTTTGCTGGCGGTGAGTAGGGGGGGGGGGGGGGGAAGGGGGGGTCGAACCGGTAGTGGCCCCCTCCAGTTTTCCGGATCCGGAGGGTAGGGGGGGGGGGGGGAGGGGTTCGAACCGGTGGTGACCCCCCGGTTTTCCGGATCCGGGGGGAGGGGTTCCGGTTGGGTTTTCGGAGGGGGGGGGGGTTCGAACCGGTAGTGACCCCCCCCGGTTTTCGGAGGAGGGGGGGGGGGAGGGGGGAGGGGTTCCAGCGGGGGGGGGGGGGGATTTTCGGAGGGGGGGGGGGGAGACCCCTGGGTTCCGGAGGAAAAGGTTCGCAATTTTCCACAGTAAAGCGGCGGTGGATCACGCTCTCTCTGATGTTTCAACCTACTTTAGACTTGATCACCAAAGAGAAGTTCAAACACCAAGAAAGTTCCGAAACTCAAGGGTTCTCACGTGTCGGGCCCTGGGAGACACACTCGTCCGACACTGTTTCGGCACTGTTTCGACACGCTTTCGACCCTTTTCCGGGTGCTCGAAATTATTTCTGGGATGTGGTCCTTAAGTACGATGGGAGCAACATAGCCCTCTCCCTCTGTCTCGCTCGCTCTCTAGTGCCTGCTCGGGGGTCTCTGGTCCAGCGCGCAGCCAGGACACGAAGCGCCCGGCACTTCTGTGGACCGCATCGCGAGACTGGTCACGCCATCGCAGCCTTTGACAGGTTCGTGCCGAACGCCTTCAGTGTCCGCGCGCGCCATGGCTTCGAGAGGTTCTCGCCGCGCGCCCCCTGCGGCCCGAACCACCAGGCAAAAGGCCGCCCAAAGGCAGCCTCACCCGACAGCAACCTGTCCCGAAAGGAAGCCTGCGTCGTCGCCCTCCAGAGCAGTGGTGGCGTCGACCGAGCAATCGCTGCATACAACGAACTCGCTCACAAGCATCACGCCGATCATCACATACCAGCCAACGCCGCTCCGACCAACGTAGGGTTTGGATCGGACTACTGAGATTGCGCGGGGAAATCAAGATCAGCTACGCCATGCTGCGCCGCCCCTTCACGTACAAAAAGGCTTCAGCACGTGACCCACCAGGAGCCGCGGTCGACGACCATGCCCACCAAGGTAGAGGCAGGGCCCCACCCATCAGCCTCGATGGCAAAACTAGGACCTCCCCGCTACCACTGCGCCAGTCAGAGAGGTCGACGCGACGTCGTGCGCCAGCAACGTTTAATTTCGCGCGCTATATGGAGGCGACCGCCCGCTGCAGCATATCCACGCACAAGATGATCGGTGTGCGCTTGCCGTCCTGGGACCCATCGACACCGACTACCTGGGAAGGTCGTTCCGATTACGGGTCCTCCGCCGCGCGGCCAAGGCTGCCGAACCGACGTCGATGCAAATCCAAGGGGACATTTGCCAACCAGGGCGGGAAGGAGTGAATTAAGTCCCTCCAGAACGTCGTTGTCTGGGTCGCCCTCTACCCAGCGGACAACGTCGTCTGGATCCGTGCAGCTAGCTATCTGCGAGGCAGACGCCATCGCCGTCGCACCAGCGCTTCTCTGGCGCGGCACCCGCCGACGGCTGCCGTTGCGGGCGGGTCAGGCAGAGCCCAAGAGGAGAGGCCGAATAACGCCACAAATCAGCCAGACGGGACGTCTCGCGCAAACAGCTCGACGACGACCTCACCGACGCGTTCACAGCTGTGTTCGCGTGCCACTTTCGCACCGTTCAAGTCGAAGAGGCCATGGGGCTCCTAGACCGCCATGCCGCGGCAGTTTGCAAGCGTCTGCTCGCGGCTACTTCGGGATCATGCCAGCTGGCGTGCCCTGTCGTCCTCGCCGCCCCAGGACAAGGAGGTGCCCAGTTTAACGTCAGTTAGCATGGCACCAGAGGGCTTCCGCCTAGTGTCTGCATGAGTGCGCGGTGCCCAGATGGTCGCCGGGCCATGCTGCCGGAAGCGCGCGACGCCTCATGCGTTCACATGGCATGCGGGACCGTGCGTTCGGATGAAGGAGTGGTCGTTCGCGTCGAGCCCGACGTCGAGGGGGCAGAACAAGTCGTCTTGGAACTGCGGGGAACTGGCGCTGCGCTCGCTGATATTCGATAGTGCGTCGCGGGCGTTGAGCTGCAGAGCGCCGCCAAGACGCAAGTCGCTGAGGCTCTGGCGTCCACCAAATTGCGCCGCGATGATCAAAACGTTGGATGGGGCAAAGGTACCGGGGACAACTCCAGCATTGTCAAGGCGACAGACCCCCGCCGAATGCCGCGCCCCTTGCGCGCGGCTCCCTGGGCCCTTGTCAGTGTCGAAAGTCGCGCCCCCGCGAGGGCCGAGCCCCCCGAGGCGCCGACGGCTGCCATCATTTCGTCGTTGGCCATCGCCGCGGAGAAACCCGCGGTGGCATCGCCTACGAGGGGGTCAAGGTCGTTTCCCTCCGCATCCCTACAAGACGGGGCGGTCGCCAGGCCGCGCCTCCAGGCGCTGGTGAAGCCCGGGCCTGGTGGGCGGCGCCGAAAGTCTTGCCAGCGCGCAGCAAGCGGCAATTGGCTGCGACGAGATCGCGAAGTGGATGCCGCCTGGAGTCCAACGGGTCAGCGACCAACCAGACGCAATGTTCAAAGAACTGGAGGATGACAGGCAGCCGCTCGCCAGAGCCGCCGAGGGCCTAGAAAAAACCGTCACTGGCGTGGCCTCGTGCGCCGCGGTGCCGCCGCCTCTTCCATCGGGGGCCGCGCTGAAAGCCGGCCTCCCCGCGGACAGCGGGCGCCCCCCCCCCTGCTGGAGGCTGCCGTCGACGATCCGGCGCCGCAGACGCCGCTGGGCGACCCGGCGCTCGAACGAAGCTCAGTCTACAGCAGTCCCTCGGAAGGTGGCTCCTGGCCGAGGGGAACTTGCTGTGGCGGCCCAGACGACGGCCAGAAATTCCACGGTCACGGCCACCTGGCGCTGGGCCCGCCTGTCGGGTTTGGCTTGTCGTGGCCGCCATGCGTCTCTGCGAGGCAGAC